TTAACAGTTAGAGCAGTGAAACATTTGGATTTGTGCTTCCCAATGTCTTGTGGTGATCCATTTGTATGTAATTTCATGCATTAGGGATCCAGGAGTATGTGGAGGCCGTCTCTTTCCTGCACTATATCCGTCACCGCAGCCTTATCAGCCTGGAGGAAATCAACGCCAGACTGGTGTTCATGAGAACGGAGAAGGTCGATCCGAAGGTAAGGTAAAGTTATTTTGTCATCTCCTATAATGTTCTCCATTTTTTCAATAGACAAATTTAACAATATGTATTTTGGGAAATACACTTATTCGCCTCCTTGCCGTGATGTAAAATCTGTGTTTTTATTCACCGTACAGACATGAGAGTTGTATCAATATCCTCATCTAACTCTCAGCAAGAAAGCAATTAAGCATATTTTCCTCTTAAAGCAGTGGTAATGGCACACAGAGGCAACAATGACAGTTACTATGTTCCGCATTTATAAGCATTATGTGTCATTATGTCATTTTAGGCACTCTGCCTGTTATTGTCAAAGATGATGGGCGCCTGTTGATGCACACAAAATTGCTTGAATCTCAATATTTTTTGGTAAAAGCTTGAGGAAAATTGGACTTTGCTTATTTGTGGCCCAGGGCTTTTACGACAAGCACAGCTGCACAACAACAATGACATCTTGTAAACATTGTTGCCACCATCAGTCTTCTGTATATATCTTGTGCCCAGAGGGTTTCTGTGCACAGTCTGTTCCAAAAGTGCTCATAAGCCGTGTCTTTTGTTGACATTCATGTGTGATTTTTCTGTTCTTTCTCATCCTGTTTTCACCCCAGGGCTCGGACGAAGCCCTGCCACTGGGAGCTCAGGTCCTGACCTTCCAGGTGACGCCCTCAGACTACCTGCTCGGCGTGGCTGACCTGACCGGAGAGCTGATGCGGATGTGCATCAGCAGCGTGGGCAACGGCGACATTGACACGCCGTTCCAGCTGAGCCAGTTCCTGCGGCAGATCCACGACGGTTTCTCCTACATCGGGAACACGGGCCCGTACGAGGTGTCCAAGAAGCTGCACACGCTGCGACAGAGCCTGGGCAAAGTGGAGGACGCCTGCTACGCCCTGCGCGTCCGCGGCTCAGAGATCCCCAAACACATGCTGGCCGACGTGTTCTCCAGTAGGACCACGCTCCTCGACCCGGAGGAAGGAGTGGTTTAAATCCTGCACAGCTTACATTATGTTCCCTAGGGTGTCATTGTCTGCTTGGAGTTTTTTCTCCAGTTTGATGGTTGTCTGAATTTTTAATGGAATTTGACAGATGTTTAAAATGTTTCATGCTGTTTGTTATTGTTGTAATAAAAACAGGTTTACAATAGACACTGTTTTTTTTTTTCTTTGATAAAGATCTGATGACTTCATTTGTTTTGCATGAATAAAAGTTCTGTGCCAAATATGCCATGCGAGTCTTTTTAAGCTGCTTTGATAATGTGTGTGTGTGTTTATTTTATTTTCGTCTCTCTGCCCTTCCCTCCCTCTCTCTATCACGCACAGATAATCTAAGGTAAAACCATTGGCTGCCTGCACTCACTGCATACTGTGTGGAGGAGGAACATGTGACCTTTGTACATTGTACGTGCCTATTCTCTGGTAGGCCTGCTGGCACACACACACCCCCTTGCCTCCTCATTCTACAATCTTTAAACAATCCTCACCGCGACATTAATTGAAAATAAGCTTCTGGAGTGTGCTGAGACATATTCCTGGCAGAGAACTGATTTTATATTGCTGATCCCTGATCACCTGATGGTGTCAATTATTGCTCTCCAGATGGATATTTGAGGCAGTGAGAAACAGTTGAGCTGTGCTCGTGGACGGTCACAGAGTAACGTCTGCGTAATCTATAATCAGTAACGGGGGGCTCTTATTCCTGTTTGAGGAAACAAGATTTATCGTAAGAGAAATGGTTACTTGTGAGTGTAATGGTTCGAACCAAAACAACAACACTGCCTCTGTGTTGGTTTTCTGTCCTACAGCAGCTGTTGTCCTTCACAGCCTGCAGTTTCTCCTCTCTGACAGCCTCGTCTGCAGCTTTAGGGTCAAATGTTTGTTTCTGATCAGTTCTACTTTGTGTATAAAAATGTAAGACATTTGGTATTTTGTTGGCTAACAGATTTGTATAGCCACAAATGAGATAATCTATGATTTAATTCCTTGTTATGTTCTTTATGTGATAGAAAGGGTTTGAATGTAATAGAAATCTGCCACCTGTTGGTCGATATCACTACCAAAGGACAACCTGAATGCTGTCTGCTCAGACAGTGTTTTCCTTAAGGGATCCCTTCTCTGTCATTGAGTAAATGACGACCCCTGATATACTTTATGGATATTTCATTTTATATTCAGCACATAACAATAACAGTACAGAACAACTGATAAACTGTACAATGAACCCAAATAGTGGATGCAATAACTGGAGGAAGTTTGTATTAGGGATTTTTAGAAACATTTCATACAATTCCCTGTTTGTGTTTCTTTATTTTTAACAATCATATGTAATTAACAGGTTTCTATGTTGACCAGTTCAGTGTTTACTTCTCCCTGACACTTGGCCATTATTCTGTTAGCTTAATACTTTTCTAATGCAGGATGAGGCTGTTTAGCCTCACAATAATTCAAACTTTATAAAGAACAACTTTATTTAGTTTTCTTAACAGAAATTGATTAAAATTAAAAAATTATTTTTCTCTCACCCCATTGTGAGCCGCTTTGAAGCTTTGGTGTCCCACAGGTTGAAAACCACTAAAATATAATTTGGACGAGATCTAAATGAATGAAACAACAGAGCTGGGTATTTTTTTTCAGTCTTCAGTCATTTTATTTGTTTGTTTTGTTTTAGTGAGTTTTATTGAGGGAGTCTGAGAGACAGAAAGAAAACTGGTTTTGCTGTTTTTTTGGTTTGGTATGTAAATCAATCAAGCAATTCAATCAATGAATGCATAGATTTGGTATTACATACTGTATATATGTAATGTTATATTTAAATAAGTTAAATCATCCTTATTATAGTAAGGTTCTGTATCATCAAGTTTTCATGTTGATTTCCCTCAAAGTACGAATATGAAACATCACTTTCTATGTAGCAGGAGAGAGACAACCGTGTGTTTAACACAGACTGTATTAAAAGAATAATAATATAATAAGAAGTTCTCATGACCTACAGAGGTTAAATCACAATTGAGTTGTAGCAATCAGTCGGGAGCTGCAACAAGAGCGTGGATCAGGTTATTGCAATAAAATCTCTCAAACAAAAGAAAAACAAAACAGCTTTTATTGTTTTAAACAGATATTTGCAGCAAATGGTCTCTTCTGAAGGTCAAGGTTCACATTTTAGCAGGATTAATGTAAAGGGGATAGTTAACTCAGACAACCAAACAAACCACTATAATCTTTACAAGTAACTAAATGAAAGCTGTGTGTGGAAGTAAACCCCATACCTAAATCTGTGTGAAGGCTGACATCTACTGGTGAAAGCTGGGTACACTATCTATGAAGCACAGCTTTGGATGCATGAGGAATACAGTCATGGTGGCACATTCACTCCAGTGACATAGGAGACATGTATGTCACAGAAGGAAAAAACGTATTCTTGTTTAAACAATTGACAACATGCCTGTCTTCGTTAGATGAATAGAGAGCAGAGAGAAGCCTCTGCTGGAGGCCACCAGTGTTAATTATTAAGCACGAGGAAACACTGAGTTGTTTGATGAGTCATGAGTTGTTGTCCAGAGACATTAGGTTCCTCTAATCTTTATTACCGGACAGCTGATCTCACTCTACAGCACATGCATGGCAGTGGATTATAGTGTGTGGCCTATCTAAGTAAAGGCTGCTCTCTGTTGTTGTGGTTGTTGTTGTTGTTGTTGTTGTGTGGGCTGAACTGAGCTCTTCATCACTGAGTCTTGTCCATCAGCCAGCCGAGCTGAATGAAAGGACCATTCGGATGTGTGGGAGGGAGGATGAATAGACCCAGCTCTGTGTGGGGTCTCTTCTCATTCATTCCCCCCACTGCATCAACAAAGGGAACACTTTTGTGCTTACACCAGGATGTGTTTGGGCTGTCTAAAAATATGCAAAAATAACATATTTTTTTGTGCAGTTTTGCACACAAACAACCATTTGACCTACTTATTTTATGGCCAAATTAACACCTGGATATCAGGGACATACTGTATGTGTCTAAGTATATGTTTATTTATTAAGTTTAGAAAATACAAATGTCAGTCTATATTTCAGACAACAAAGCTAGAGGGGGGTATAGGGTGGGATGGGGTACAAAATGTGTGGCAACCCCAGTTTAACACGTTTAATTTAGATTAATTTAAAAAATAACTTGTGGCAAACTTAAAGTTCAATGAAAAAATACATGTATTTAGATTTGGAAATAAAACAGTTTATTGATTTCTAACTCCACTTTTAGATATTTATATTCAATGCTTTACTAGTGTCCCACACTAATGTAATATTTTTGAGTCAAATATTAATTTGGGGACTTTTACAGGAAATACAGATTGTTTGTGTTTTGAGTGATCAACATATATTTCTAGCACACCTTAAAGTCTCCCTGCCACCCCATGAATATTTCTCTAGATCCGCTCTGACAAGAAAATATTACAATAAAGAGTAAAACAGTTTTATAATGGCTCTCTTTGAAAAAATTAAATAACATAAAACATATTTATTATCATAGTCTACAAAAGTTTTTCAAAAATAAAATAATTTAAATGTAGTTACCTTTAAAAATGCTATACAAAACCCAGTAACGACAATAATTATACTAATAATGGTCATTACTACATCATTAATACATGCATTTGAACTTGTAGTATTGTTTTTGTGACTTTAACAGAGTTGAAGGTGCTGGTATTCTTCCTTCCCTGCACCAGCTGCAGCTCTGATGCTGCTAAAATAAAAGTGCAGGGCTGGAGCGATGTGATGTGTCCGCTGCAGCACTCATAGGCTGCAGAGCTGCTGAGGTTATGAGGCGGTCTGACAGAGTCTGGAGTCAAATTCCTGAACACGTAGGAGCTCCTCACGTTGCTCCAACACGACGCACGGACGCACGGGCGCAGCAAGTAACGGACCGCTGATCAACTGATCGATGACACACAGATTTATCCCGGCTATCACTTCTGCCATTACAGCACATCATCATCGGGTGTTTTTCTTCCATTTTTTACTCTCCCCCCACCACACCACCACCAGAAACATGACATGAAGACTTCATCTTTTCTCTCCATTCCGCCGCCTGTTCGTGCGCATCTGGACCCACTTGTTTGCCGCAGAGGAGAAGTGTGAGAATCTGGAGCACAAGCGTCAATACTTTGTGTCAGGAAATGTTCATTATGGACAAAGGAGCGCGTGTAAAAAGCCGGTTTCACACGTTAGTCCGAAGCGAGGGAAAAAAATAACAGCCTGGCTTCACTTTTCCACAACGGAAATGAGATCAGACCCATTGCCTGGCTCCACTTCTTCTAAAACATGGTCGATGTGAGTCCATGTAGAACCGGGATCTGACTCAAAACTGCTTGTTGTTAATGGAAAGATGTTTGCTGGACTGATGGGGCTTGAATGTCACAGTAACTCTCTGCTTCACCACCGCGAAGCCATGGAAGGTAAACATACATCCCCTTGTTAACTGTTAACTGTCTGTTAAACAAATAATAATCAGTGTGTCTTCCCTAGAAAGTGCATTAATGCTGATCACTGTGTTGAGCTTCACATTACTTTAAAATAATGTACAAGAAAGTAAGAGGTAAGTCACTGGAGAGGATAATAAACTCTATTTAGAGGGCACAGAGTCTAAACTCATCCTAAACCTGCACTGTGGTGCTCAGTGACTCTAAATAATCAGTGTCTGGCTGAAGGAAGAGGAGGATCTGTGTGTTTTTGAGTCCTCCAGCTGGTTCTCGGCACTGCTGTGAGCTGTCTGCACCATTCAGGTCAAAGAGGTCAAAGGCTCCCTACATGAGTGATGATAGGTGATGGTTAAAGTGAATGCTTTTATTCCTCTGAATATGTAGACAGCGTGGAGACTTATGATGGCTCTCCCTTGTACATTATCTATCCTGCATAACTTACTTGCATATTTTGCATACAGGCTCCTGTGGGGGACATATTTCTGCTCATTCAAATAAGGGCAAACTTAAACTGTCTATAATCAGGTTACCACATTAGTGTGTTTGATTCTTTACTATTTTAGTTTAAAATCTTCCAAAAGTAATAATATTAGATAACAGGTAACGTAAGATTGTTGTAATTTACCATAAAACTTTATAACTTTTAAGTTATAAGCAGTGTCCCATTTAGATGCAGGTCCCCCTTTACTAGCTGCATGTTTTCACAAACAAATGCAGATCTGAATAACACACCTGGTCTGGATTAAATAGAAAGTCTTTGGATGTATAAAACCACGTAAAGCACTCTTGAGCGAGTTCTAAGCTGCTTATATCGCATACACAGATGTTTAAACTTTTGTCAATGTGGACATTAGTTAGTCTCATGAAGTACTGTTAATACTGGTTTAAATAAACAATTTAATAGTAATTAACATCTTTGCTGAGGAAGAGTTTTGTGCAAAAGGAAATAAACGTCTATTCCAAATAAAGGTGATTAATCCATATATCAAATGTTTAAAACTCATCTGTACAGTAGTGATCAGGCCATCTGAAGCGACGTCAAAGTAGTTGGTACAGTTTTTAGCAACAGTAACAGTTTTTGGCATTTAACTGCATGAACAAATTAAATAGTACTGTAGGTTTTTGTGGTTTGTGCATTCTCACAATGTCAGTAGCTCACTGTTGTATCTTCACTCAGCTCAACCATATTCAGCTGGTTTATGATCCCCATGTGACCGTACAGGAAGTGCGGTGCTATAAGAGTCTCACCAGAGCAGAGATTCAATTCAGAGAGATAGATTCGCTTCTAGGCTTTGTCACCGCCACTTTTTAGAACTCATCTGTGACTTTCACTTCCCTTTTTCTGTTGCTTTGGTTGGTCACAAGTGGTGAAGTGCTGCTTCTCAGGAGGCTGCTGACATGCAGATCTGCTGGTGTGTGTGTGTGTGAGGGTGCTGAGTTTGTTCCTCAAACGTTTGTGTTTTTATGAGATCCTCCGCATTCCTCCGCTCTTTGGCTGAAGCACTTTCAGACAACCAATGGGACGCAGTGTTTAACCTAAGGGCTCTGAGGAGGGCCTCTTTAATCTCCGAAGGTAAATAATCTTGCCTCCTCTGGTTGAGATGCTTCTCAGACTCTGTGCGGACTGCCTTTAACTTCATCGACAAGTTGCAGTGAGAAATGAGAGCGGGAATCATTTGGTCCTCAGTGCTGAAGTCTCCCTTTCGCTTATTTACCATTTCTGCCGGAATTCCTGGCAAACTATTTTAGGACAAAGCCTGGCAGGAAGCAGCAAATGACATACCTCTGTAGGGGCTTCAACTGAGACGTAGATGCCACCCAACACACACAGACACACACAATGGGCCCTGAGGCATTTCCTTCCCCTTTGCAGGGAAGAGCCGTCTTTGTGTAATCGAAGCATGGCGAGGATACAGTAACGCTTTCCATCAGCAACTCCTTCCCCTTTCGGCTCCTGAGCTCTTTGACTCTTTGGAGTGGGCTCTGTGTTACATGTTGACCACACCAGATGGTGGGTGGTGTGCGGTTGTGTTCGGTGCCTACCGTGAGTGTTGGGTTTCTTAAATTGGTTATGGAACAGTGGCCACGTCTGCAAAGAAACACTAATGGAGCTGTATGTAACCTGAGCTTTAGTGCGGTGGTCCCAGTGGACAGGAGACTCTTATTGAGTCACACACAACAACAGTCTGGGTACACCCCTGTGTTACTCTCACTACAAATCCTGCCTTCCCATCAGTGGACCATCCCAGCTCTCCCTTAAGTGGTGTTTTTTTTTTTTTTTGGTGTCTCTTCCTCTCCGGTCACATGGGATGGTTTAGGAGTGACATCACTGGAGGTCATGGGAGTTGAACAGAGAGCTGTGGTTGCTTTGTGGTGGTCATGGTTTATTTCGTGCTCCTCAAACTGGCTTCACGTACAGCTACAGACACTGAATTTGTAGAAAAAATTTGATTAATACATTTTTAATATATAATAAAACTGATAATAATGCAGTATGAGGTACTCATTAGGCTACAGATATGTTTGATTGTTACTAGTAATGACACTTTAAAAAAGTGTAACATGGTTTTACAATGACTGTAGGATGAATGCTCCCACTGTTCCCAGCACAAAAGTCTGTGTGTCTCTGTGTGTCTTGAGTGTGTGTGTGAGTGGGAAGAGAAAATTGAGAGGCAGAAGTGGGAGAGAGAGCAGCACAGCTGTACACAAAGGGGCTGTTGATACCCCACATTACCAGCCTGCCTGTCTCTCTGAATCCTACACATTATATGTATTAATCACGTGAAGCTGCAGCAGGTGTCCCGCTCTGAACACAAACTGGTCTTTATCATCCTGCTCCAAATACACTGATGTTTTTATCACTTCTCATTGCTTGGGTTGGCCACGTTTGTCTGCAGTGCTTCTCTTACTGCCATATAAAGCTATTAAATCTTATTTACCCAGTAACTTTATAGGGATTAGTAACATTGTTAAGACCATGAACTGTTTCTATGCACTTTTCTGCTGTGGAAATTATTAAACTATTCCCAAACTGCAAAACCTAAAAGCAAGACAGGCTTCATCTTCATCATATATTGATTCTAAATGTGTTTGTTTAGATTAACTTGATCGGTCTTCCTTCCCTATCAGAAATTCTATCCATCTTGTATTTAAAGCTGCACCAATCAAAACTATGTATTAATGAATTCATGACTCAAATGACTATATGTACCTATGTGAAAGGAGTTGCTAATAATCAAAAACACAACACAATTTGGGTTATTTCGGTAACCCAGTGCTGGGTCAAAAAGGGGCCGACCCAGCCACGGGTTATTATAACCCAGCAGGGTTGGGTTACCGAAATAACCCTTTTTTTTTTTTTTTTAAATGACTAGCTTGTTGGGTGAAAGCTAACAAAAAGTTGAAAAAAAACAATTTGGATAAAATATATTTTGGTCGATTTATGCATTAAGAAATACTGATGAATTAAATTGTAATTAAATGATAAAACAAGCACATAATGCCCCAGCCATTATTTAATTATTCAAGCTAAAGGGAAGCTCCAGTATATAAAAGTATAAAACACATGAAAATGTTGTTTAAGACTTGTTCCACTGCCCCAATTTGGCAAAAACAAATAGTGCTGCTTTAATCATATTGATTTTCTATGATTCACTTTTTTCCTTCCCTGCCAGGAATATGTCCAACCTGTATTTAACATGCTTTAGTGCCCTTTCAGAAACTGGTCATTTTGCAGCTTAAATAAATCTTTCTATCTCACATCTTAACATCCTCGCTAGCATCAGAGCAGTTTTGTTTGTTTGTTGTTCCGACGTGAATCAGATTCATTCAGCTTTGCTTCCACTCCACCCCTGCAATGCCTGTACACCCACAGTCTGAAAACCTCGGGTTTCGAGCAACATGGCTGTGTTTTCAAAGATCAACAAATTCAGCTTCAGGAAACATTGTTCATGCCTGCGACTCCTCCACCGAGAGGCGTGTCTTAACTCAAAATGACTGTGTAGCTTTGGTATTTCCCAACAGCTGGAGCAGAACTCTGGGAAATGTCACACAGCTGCCCAAGTTGTTTTTCATTCAGTTAGCCATGCTAGCTTTAAGGGGCCGGGTGAAAGTCATTGTGGTTTGGAGTATTAACGCCATGACGTTTTAACATGCTTGTGTGATCGGCCCATTTAGCGTCACATTTTCCTGATGTACTCCATGATTGCACAGTTAATCCTGTGAGCTCACTCTTTATCTTCCTCATGACCGTGTTGTCCAGCTTAATGGTTAATCTCTGCATCGACAGGTGGCAGAGTGTCGGGGACAGCTGGCAGCTCCGGTCGTAAGAGGCTCCACCGAAGACCAGGGTACATGAGAGGAGAGCAGTCCAGACTACAGAGCACTGCTCATGGGCAGGAGGAGGGGGAGGAGGAGGAGGAGGAGGAGGAAGGGAGGACCACTTGCGTTAGGAATGGAAAACCTGGACGTCACACTGACATCACTGAGGCAACCAGCGCTCAGAGGATGAGTCTAACTGCTGTCAAAGTGTCCTCAAAGAATCAGCCTGATAAACTCACATGTAGCTCGTGGAAGAGTAAGAGTTTTCTTTGCTCTGCTACCCTTCCTCTTCCCCCTGTGGACTGCAGTGCCATTAATGGTGCATCCAGTCCCCAGGATCCGTCCTCTCTGCCACAGAATGAACTCGCCGTCCAGTCCTCACCACAGGACTCCTTTAACTCCAGCTTCAGTTTCATCCAACAGTCTCTCAACTGCAGCCAGAGGACAGACACAACCACACCGTCCCGGGAACCAGAACCACTAAATCAGTCGACTAAAGCACCTAGTTCGCCTCGAACAAAACCAGCAGCTTTGTCCATTGAGCACAATATCTTAAAGCAGTCCACTCCTGCCCAATCACGGCCCTCCTCGGCCCCGGGCGGCCAGGCAGACAGAGAGGAACTGTCATTAGATGGGAGGTTTTGGCAGGAATGTCTGTGGGGTGGCAGGGAGGTTACGTCCGACCTGCCTGACTGTGACTCTCTGGATATAGAGATCACCTCCTCGCTGTCTGTGGACTCAGACACGGCCTCCGCCTCGTCTGTCACCTCTGGCTACGAGAGCGCCACGCCTGCCTCCGACCAGGCCTGGGACAACCTGGTGAAGAAGTACGAGGGTGTGCTGCAAGACTGCCTCCAAAACAACCGCACTCACACTAAGGTGGGCATCAGTGGTTTCCTGCTGATTGTGATGATGAAACTCCTCTATTGAGATTAAATCGATTCCAACACCAGGTTCAGAGTCAAGACTGAAACCAAAGCACAGGATAGAAATAGTTGGACATTTTGGGAAAAACACTTCCCTGCCAAGAGTTACATGAGAAGATTGATGGGATGTCTGTACCCTAAATACAAAGCTAGAGGCAGCAGCTAGTTAACTTAGCTTAGCATAAGGAAACAGGGGGAAGTGCTAGCCTGGCTCTGTCCAAAGGTGTTATCTGCTTTCCAGCTAATGAATTAACTTGAGAAAATTAACACATAATTATATAATTATATGCTGAACTATTCATAGTTTTGCTCCTAACTAGCTGCTTGCCCTAGCTTCATATTTAGCCTACAGACATGAGAGTGGTGTTGATCTTCTCATCTAACTCTTGGCAAAAAAGCAAATAAGTGTATTTTTTAAATATATTTAATACAGGCAAATAATACTAATACAAGTATCACACAAGACAATGTAACCCCACAACACAATTGGACAGGAAAGGAGTAAACAAAAAAGACAAGACAAAGTTAATTGGATCCCCTCTATAAATAATTAGATTGACAGTACCAGAACTCTTAGAGAACTGAAATATAGATATGACATGGTATCTTATTTAGAGCAATATATAGTCCCACTCTTCACTAGAGCAGTTTTCTCCCATTTCGTATTGTGTTGTGAAACTTAATCTTTAATTCAGATTAGTTATCTATGATTATTAAATGTGAGTATTTTACCTAGCAGAATAATTCAATTAATTATCTTAGCACAGTTTTTTCATCCATAACCCGAAACATAATGCCTACAGGTGTAAGTTCAAAATAAATGTTGTGTGCTCAATTTAGTTAATTAGTCCACAAACTTATAACATTTGGACCACAGAAAAACAAATGCAACTGGTCTTCCTCTTCATCATTACAGAATCTAAACAATGCAACAATGTCAGACTTTATTTAAGACCAAGAGCAAACTAAGAAAATGAAAAAAGTTACATAGAAAAGAGTGAGTTTGACCTTCTCAAGTTGTTTGAATTTGAATATTCTTACAGACTAGAAGAGGAAAAACTACCCAGAAGCGAAAAATAGAGAAATGTTTCCAAAAGTAAATATAATTTGAAGCACAAATGTTTTTAATGCAATAGTTTATGTACTAAACAAGTGGAATACATTAAATTGTAAATTGTAACAAATGTTGAGACTTTGAACTTGAACTTTTAGGTTGATCAGTCTTCCCTAAAGAGATACAGTCTGATCAGCAATACTTAGAGGTGATGATGAGGTTTCATAGCCAGTCTTTATCTTGCTGACCCGGTATCACTTTGAAATGACGGTCATTGCACCCACATGTCGTTTTTCCGGCCTGTGACTGTTTAAAGAGCATGGCCCTCTGCGCTGTTGGGTAATCTGTTCTGTCTCCTGTCTATTGTGTCTCTCTCAGATCGAGTCCATGATGTTGAGGCTGCAGAGACTCCAGCAGAAAGCCATTCTGGATGATGACTATGACGCAGGTGAACTAAGACTTTCAGTTGAGCCGATGCTTTAATAAGTAGGTCAGCTTTGCAGTTGTGGATTGATGCAGAGAGCTTACCTTGAACTAAATTGAATATTAAAGAAAAACATTGTCTTTATTTAGTATAATGGAAAGAGGGCAGTGGACAGTGAACACTAACTAACTAACTGTGGGATTTTCCATTTATATCGACTGACATGCTCAGTCAGGATCCAGATCAGTTTGACGTTTAAGAAGATATGGAACGTCACCCAGTTTCCTTTATTGGATTTCTTGGTAACTGAATTAGTTGTGAATCATACTAAGATGATAAAGCATGTGAGGGCAGAAGGACACACTTTAATTAGAGCTGAACAAATGGTATGTTGTGTACTGACTGACATACATTTCACATTGAACTTATTGGAGAGTTGAACTTTTACTGAAACTCTTCAGTGATTGATGAAAAAGTTTTATGACCCGTACAGTGTCTGCTCAGTGTCTGTTATTTGAAGATTAGTACAAATAATACCATTCCTCTCTTGTTTTTGAGGACTACTTTATAGTTGAGTTCCCACTACTTAGTTTTCCTCATGTGTACACGTGAGTGCTCAGCACATCAGATCCGCCAGCCAAGTAAAACTAAAAACTGGGACATTGTGAAACTACTCAAAGTAGCACAGAGAGTAGGTAAAGCTTCGTGAAATTCCACATTTATTTACAAGGGAAACCGGGCTCTTCTGGGGCTTTGTGAACGCAAACTCATGTTTCGTCATCCATGTTTGGCTTTTGATGTTTTGACTTTGAAGACTGTGTGGGAACGAGTCCTCAAATTTAATCTGGACTTGGTTTTGAATCTGTCTCCAGAAGAAACTACATTCATTTAAGTTCCTGTTTGACCTGAATATTTTTTCTTGCTGTCCTGAGGAAAGTTTATTTTCAGAAGAGGTCTGTATTTTGACCCATTTCTTGGACCTTGTGACAAAAATAAATACCAACATCTGCTGCCGGCTCCCTGTAGACCTTGAACTTTATAAGCGATTAAAGGATTATTTAGGTCAGTGTGTCTTGTCAAGTTTTCTGTTTGCCTTTTGATATTGTGCATCACAAACCTCTCTCTGACATTTAAAACTCTTCTCCACCCCTGCTGACTTCAGTTTCTGCTCATCTGTCAGCAGGATTCCTGAAAAGCTTAAGAACTGTTTTCCATGAAATGCTGTAAACAAGAACTAAGGCAGATGATTAGATTTTCTTACTGATGAAGATTTAAAGATGTTTTACCCTTAGACGGTTATTATTTTTATCTTAACCATGAACCCAACGAGAGGGTTGATCCCAAATCCTTTATGTTTGCCTTTACAGGGTCAAGAAATTAAGGATTTTTAAGATTTCACGGATAGGAATTCTTGGAAACATCGAGCTGAGAATCATTTTGTATTGACAGAAGTTTGCTCCCTTTAAGTCTCCTCTAGTTAAGGGAAATTTGGTAATTGAATAAGGAGCTACATAGACGTTATTACCTAGAGAGTAATCTGCTTTCTGTACAATCACAATACAAGTTTCTACATTGACTTTCTGACTTGAACCTAGTTGCTAATAACCAGACTTGTTTAGCATTACGTTGCTGTGTGTTATTCAGTACGTGTGCATGTGTGTTTTCAGCTGAGCGTTTTGGGAAAAAGCTGGAGGAGCTGTGCAGGGAGCGAGGCGCTCTGAAGCTCGGTCTACCCTCCACACAGCCCAGCGTGGCTCTGTTCCTGGAGCGGCTCAGACAGGTGGTGCACAGCGCCCTCCAGAGGGCAGACTGCAGTCAGTACAGGTCAGTCACACAACAGTGGCAGCGAATGACAGCATGATGCATTACTAGTGTAGACACACATTGTCAATTCATGAGCCAAACCCTGTGCTAAGTTTTCTGATATTATATAAGTTAATCACAGTAATCATAAGCTACTGTTTTGACACTGAAGTATAATGTTTCTCCTTATTGACATTGGAGAATCACATGTTTAATAATGTTTAAATGGATGTTTATTGCAGTGAGGTAAAAAGGTAACACGTAATGTGGTTAAATTCAGTTTTATTTTAGATTTAATTTTATGGGAGATTTTAATTAGTACTGTGTAATTTATTTAGACAACATAATTGTTTATTGTATTGTAATTTAATCACAATCTGATACTGATACTGGCGATTAACAATAGCATAGCCCTACTGGGTTTGCAGAATTGAAGTTGACAGGTTGCTTAGCTCCTGATCGTGCTCTATCTTTCATTATAATGTTGTAGGACAGAGCGGTTAGGGAGGGATGTCAAAAAATAGCTCTTGTAGCAGGAAGGAAATCAGGTGGGGCGTCTCTCTCCAGAGGGTATCCTGAACAAATGTAACCTAAAGCTCATGCAGCACCAGCAGTGGGTTAATGTGTTACTGAGTTTTCCATGCATACATCTCAGTCTCAGTTTATAACATGCTGAAAAACAGGAAAAAACACGCCCCCAAAGATTGTGTTTCCATTTATTTCAGTGAGTTGGAGGAAAAGTGAGAAAAGGGGAAACACACTTTAGTGGTAATGGTCCATTAAGCATCCAGAAGAAGAAGAAGAAGATATACTTTATTGATCCCCCTAGGGGAAATTGTTTTTTTCACACACACACACACACACACAGGCTGAAATGCACACTTCATGCACATGTGGACATGCAAAGGGGAGAGATGGGGGAGTGAT